CCCCCCCCCCACGCGGGGTGGTACGTTCCTCCGTGCTGTGGGGTAACGGGTGCCCCAGGGGATCCCCCAGTGAGATGGTACCTTCCTCTGTGCTGTGGGGTAACGGGCGTTCCAGGGGGTTCCCCCCCGCAGGATGGTACACTCTTCCGTGCTCCCCTCCACCACCCATGGGTGCCCCCCCAGAAATGGTAGGGTCCGGCCCTGCTTGGGACAGGCCATGTGGCTGGTGGGGGTGGGGCACTTGAAGGGCTTGTGCTGTGAAGCCGGGGACCTCCTCACACGTGCTGCTGCTCACTCGGGCAGGAGGAGAAGGGACTGGGTCTCAGGACGCCTGGATTCCATTTGTGGCCCTCAGGGGCCTGTTGGGCAGGTCCTTTGGGGCTCCCCGGTTCTCCTCGCCGATCTGGAGACTTTGTGCCCGTTTGCAAAGTGCTTTGAGAGCATTAAGCGGAGGTGGCAGAGGACTCTTGTCCTCGGCATACCCAAAACACCAGGAGCAGGGCACGCAGCTAAACCGCTGCTGGGTCTCCAGGGCTGAGCTGCCGAAAGGACAGACCCAGAAAAATGGCCGGGTAGAAATCCGTGATTACCGCCTCTGTTTCCTGGAGCTGCCTGCAGCAATCGCTTTGGGGTTTTCTTGTGGCTCTGAGCTCGAGTGACGAGCGCTCGCTGCAGACCTCGGTGGAGTGGCTTTTAAAGACGGGCCTAATGGACTTTTAAAAGGCATGATGCACAGCCAGCTGCACAAAAGACAGGAAAAAATAATCAGTAGATCCTTTGATCCCAGAGCACTTTGTGAGCTCGACGGGGGGATCTTCTCATTGCCTCTGAAGCATCGCAGCCCCTGCGGTGCGCTGTGGTGGTGGGATGGCTCGTGGTATCGCTGCACTCCACAGCCTTAAAGAGAGGATGTCACATAACCAGCATAGTTAAGATGTGTATGTTGCCTGGGCAGAAATACAGTGGTTTAAGCCTCTTCAGTAACATCTGTCTTGGAAGCACCTAAACACCTTGTGGAAATATCGTCTCCATTTTTAATTTGGATAACTCAACACTTCTCCTCCCTGTACGTACCTATCACTTGATCCGTGTTGGCCAGTACAGAGAGTCTGCTAAACTTTGGCATAGGATAATCATGAAGTCCCACTGAACCCACTAGCAGAAACTGCTGTAATAAATCATGACTCCGAGTGAGTGATGGAATTGTATTTATCTTTAGGCAACCATTTACCCTGAGATAATAACTTTTTGTTTTAAAAATATCTTGTTTTTTATAGAACTAAAAACCTGTCAATGCTGTTGTGGATGACAAAAGTTGTCTTGGCAAATACTGAGCCTGCTGTTTTGTTTGCCTCTGGAGCATAAATATGCTTCTTCTTAGCATTTTTTGAAAAATAATCTCTGGCAAGGCTTTGAACTTAATTTTGTGAAACTCTCCATAGAATTGCCTGCATTCAGCTGACTTGTTTATTTTTTTATTATGCTTCGCTGTTCAAATGTGCAGATATAAATATTGAGCTTTGGCTCGTGTAGCTCCTATCTCGCGGAATTATCCCATCAGAGAGATTTGTATGCCAGACTCCTGTTTTAATAATGCTAAATCCAAACTAAGCCTTAGCAGGTGTTTATTGTATAATGCCTAATGTTTTTAATCTGAAACTAAGTCAAATGTCTGCATGAACGGAGCTATGTAGGTCTCACTTTAAAAACCTTAAAAAATAATACTGTCTGTCTTTAAATGCAGTTATTTTGGCAGCACACCTTTGTGAGAGTATCTGGTTTAATTCTCGTGCTGATGAAATTGCTTGACTCTTACTTTTTTTTAAAATTTGTACACAAATTGATTTCCAAGTATTCCAGACAATCCTGTACCTTTCCCTAGTAATCCCCTTGACTGTGTAGCCACTACAGACTGTTAGCAAACTGGCCCCGGTAGTATGATGCCATCCTGACGTGGAGGGGCTTTCTGTAGGATAAGTTAGATGGCCCAGTTCCCATCCATTCTTGCTTTCTTTACCCAAATTTACATGACAGGCCCATAATGAACTTCTTTCATTGAGTTCACCAATGTACTCTGACATGGCACCACATTGCTTTACTAAGCCACAAAACTCTCATTGGATTGTACCGGACTTTGGTTGGATTCACTATAGCAGTCTGTGGGGTGAACAGATGTGCACCAATACCAAACCAGTTTAAAGGCCACGTAAACAGGACTTTGGCAACTTGAGGGCCTTAAAATCCTAAATCCATTTGTAATGTGTCTTAATCTTGGGTGGCTCCTCTGAACTGTACTGAAATATTTGGGTGCAAGACTCCTCTTACTTGTTGAGGAATGACTTTGTGAAAAGTACATCTTTTTTATCATCAGTTACTTCTGTAAGGTCTAGATGATATGTTGCATGATGGGTACTAGAGCTAGGTGATAGTCTACTACCCTTGTTAATGTCTGCAGCTAGCTAATTCATTCTGATTAGTTTATGCACTAACTTTTCAATCTCTAATGTCCTGTGAAAGCTTGTGTTCTCAGACTCCTACAACACTAGCTTAACCATGTGACAAGAGTGTTAGTAACAGGTAGTGCAGCCTTTGCTGTATCTACCCCAAAAGTGTGTTCATTAAATTTAACAAGCAGAGTTAAGGTATAGTTAAGGTTGCTAAATATGTAATTATACGTAGGTATGCAACACAGGAGTGTAGTGCCTCTTGAAAGAGCTGACTCCTGCAAACTTAATTCTTGATTATCTCATCTAAGTTTGGGCAGAGATGTAACTATACTTTTTTTTTTTTTACTGATAGATCTTGAGGCTGGGAGTGGTAGGCTAGCAAAGGAGCAAAGCTAGTGATAAACAGGAAGGTTATTCTTTGCCTCTTGTCCTTTTGAGGATGACTATCAGTTATGTCTGCAAGACGTGCATGATCTGTGCAAAGAAGGATTAATGTTCCATGTGGCAGAATGAAGGGATGATTACAGTAGCTCTGAGGGAGTGGATAAATAACGGAGGATAACGAGAGGCTGTACTGTAATGGAGGGACATGGCTGACTATATGAAGGAAGCACCAGGTGATGATCCTGTATTCGTATTCCTTGCTGGAAACTGGAGATAGTTGTAATCTCTGATATGGTGTATTGGTCTTTTGCGGGTCCATGCGGCTTCAATGTCTTGGGAGAAACCTTTGGAGGCAGGATTTGCTGTGTACTAAGTTCTCTGGATCGTTCAACCATTTTCAGTCTCTTTCCAGTTTCTAGCTTTGTGTGGTTCACACTGGCAGAAATCTGGCAGCACAGTGGTGAAACGGATAGGACAAGAGATGCGTTGCTAAGCATCTCTTGAGTAGTGAAGGAATGAAGGGCCATGAGGATCTAAACTGCCCTCTCATCCTCCGGCTTCAGGATTGCAGCACCATCATAAGCTGGTGTGAAGAAGAGCACTTGTGTGGGAATAGCTTTTCTGTGTAGCTTGTGAGCAGCAGACATACTATTTATGATGGAATAACTCTTCAGCTAGTGCACACGATTTAGTTAGGCACTGTTACAGTGCCTAGTTTGGCACAGATTATGCTAATACACTTGGGGTGTACAGGTCAGGCAAATACCTAAGATTTAGAAATGTCATGAATGTAATGGGCTCCTGGGATCCAAAGACTATTTGTAACACTCACTGAAAAAATCATGTCAGTATCACTCTGGTCAGTGCTCTTTCCAGAATACATGTTGCATGTTGAAGATGTGGCCTTAAACCTAGGAGACAAAGGAAATTCAGACTTCAGATGCATCTATTGTCTCCAGCCCTTGACACCTTGAAGTGAAGTAAGCAAAGGCTGGTGAGACCCATGCTGCAGCCTTCTGTTTGGTTTATGCAGGAGATTCAATCGGTGGGTACCTTTGGCCACTTAAGTATTGCAATGTGCTCTGGTACTAATGAAGGGGCTAAGGAGGGTACCATGTACTGTGCTCTGAATTTTCAGTCTTTCGGTATCCAAATGGTACCTTGAATGCTAATTGAATTTTAATTTAGTACAGCAGAAAGGGAAGGGGGGAGGGTGAAGGAATGAGAGTAAATGGAATGCAATGAAATGCTAGAGGATGCCATAGAGAATGGTGTTCTTGCCTGCAGGTGTCTGTTAGCCAGTGCTTCCAGCAAACAGCTACAACAGATGACTGCACAAGTATCTCTGTTTGTGCTACCATTCCCTCTTACACTGGTTGCTATGTACGAGGTCATTTTCCTGCCAATCCTGTTTCATTGGCTAGTTTCTAAATGAACTATTTCCTTTGAAATTGACATTTTGCTGCCTTGAACTGGCATTGTCTGCTTTTCTTGATAATTCTGTGGCAGTCTGTGAATCATGTTGCTGAATGTGTTGCCAGCTGTTCAGTCTTTATGGTGATCTGATCCAAACCAGGAATCTCTGAACTGCAAAATCAAGGAATGGTGGCTGCTTGCTTGGTCAGCTAAAATGAAGACTTTTGCTTTGGTTCCTGCCCCTCCCTCCCAACCCCCATCTCCCTTCAGACTTCCTCTTTAAGCATCTGATACCGGAGCTGCCATATGTACGTGTTATTTTTCGTGAGAAAAGTGGTAACTGTTTATAGGCAGTGCGGGGAAAACTGATAAATCGGGTATTTCAAATTATGCTCTTACATGTGCTTTTAAGCTAATGAAATTGAATTTGTGTGTACTTTCAGGTAGACTGTGAGGCTTGTCTACGCTAGAGTGGTAAAAAATGTGTGTGTGGATAGTTTAAATTGTAACCCAAAACAGTGCTTATAGATTCATAGATGTTAGGGGCTGGAAGGGACCCCATGAGATCATTGGGTCCAGCCCCCCCCTGCACGTGGGGGGGCACATCTGTTGACTAACGGTAACATAATAGTGGAGGAGAGGTAATAATATTATACTAGCTTATTTTTAACCAGTCAAGAGTTAAGTGAAGGGTTAAAACCTTAGTTTTGCATGTCAGTTCTATCCAGTTTGTCTCTAGTAAGCAGAGAAAATAACCTTAGCTGCACCATATACTGGAACTAACAGAGAGATGGAGTCTACAGTTAAGAAGCAGGCTTGCTTGCCTTTCCTTCTGCCATGTTTAAACATATTCCTTTCGATATTTTTAGACGTGAACCACTGGCTCTTGTTAACCTGAAAAAGAAACATGAAGAGACTGGGGAAGAGGAGCTTGCTTCTCGCCTGAATCACTGCAAACCAAAAGCTACCAGGCACATATTTCTTATCCGCCATTCTCAGTACAACTTGGATGGCCGAGCCGATAAGAATGGAACTTTGACCCCCCTGGGTATGTGACTAGAAGCATGTTGGATTGTACACCTTGCCCTGAGAGAGCTGTCTTGCTCTACCACCGACCTGAATTGTTAAATCAGCTGTTTCTACTCTGGATCCCTTTGCCAGCTTCCTAGTCTGCACCTTGGATCCTTTTAAACATATGTGGGCACTTCAATAAGCTTGTTCCTCCCCTTATGATTCCTCTAAAATATACTTAGGCATGTATCAAACATGCCTTTACATGAGTAGCAGTCATATCTTAAGTCCAGTATGAAGTTTTAACTTCTCTCAAGATTTTTGAGCTAAACTTTCAGTGTAGTTGGCTTATTTAAATGTCCTTTGTCTGAGATTTTGAACTAAAACGCAGATCAGTGTGATTTGTCTTCATCATGACAAACTTAGAAAAAGCATCCATCCCTTCACCTCTCTGCCCCCCCCTTTTTTGGGGGGAGAGGGGCTCCTGTTTTGGGCCCAACCTTCTATTATGGCAGTATTTCATGTAGCTGAGGTCACAATGAAATCTCTGTGTCTTTTTTTTTCTTTCCATTGGAGTGTTCATAGTCGGGGAAGAAGGATGCGTGCTTCTTTCTGCTTCCTAATTTCTATTGATGGGAATAGTACTAATACATTTCTATTCGTTGAAATGAGAATACCCACGGTTGGTATATTAAAACTAATTAACTGATGCTTGGCAAATACTTATGCCTAGGTATCAAAAGAAATAGCACTGACTAACTGCTTCATTAAGAGTGCTAATTTCATTAGCACAAGCACATTGACACTTTTGCTGTGAGGAGGCAAGAGCTTTCCTTAGAGTGGTGCTTGAGGTGCAGAAGATGTGGTGCCAAAACTGTTGTTGATGCTCTGGGTTTTACTAGCTTTAATTTACATTTTAAAGCAGATGAAAGTGGCTTTAAATAGAGGTGGCCTCAGAGAGCAGCTCAAGTAGGGCAAGGTCTTGGCCCTGAATTGTCTGGCTTTATGCCTTTGGGTGAGCTGCTTCAGTTCTATATTCTTCCATCTATCTACATGCAAGATGGGGATAGATAATTTCCTGGTACCCCGAGTGCTGTGGATTTCAAAGAGTAACTTACTACCACTGTATGGGCTGATGCATACTTCTGTGGCTGTTATTTCAAGACAAGCTATTGGACACGCACTCTCTTCTGCACTCCCAAGAACATGGGGGTGCTGGCAAACTGGCCCCCTGCTTGTGGAAACAGAGAGGGTAACTAGCTTGCCATAGAATACTTCTCAATGAAATGGAAGGGGGTAGTACAAATATGTACTGGAGTCTTGTAGCCAGCAAACTTGGTCTGAGTTGGTAGTGATGCTACCAAAGGTACTTTTAATGTGTCCTTTCCAGCCAGTGACATGACATGAATCACAGTTAATGGTGGCAGAAAAGGATGGATTATTATTTGTACTTAGCATCTTGCAGACACTTTGAAGGCGATTTCTGCAAATACCAGCAACTTACTATATAGCTAATATCACTTTAAGGTCGTGAACAGGCTGACCTGACTGGGCACAGGCTGGCAAGCCTGGGGTTGAAATTTGAGAAGATTATCCACTCCTCCATGGCCAGAGCTACGGAAACTACAGAAATCATCAGTAAATATCTTCCGGGTGAGTGGTTTGAGAGCATTGTGTCATTTTGTGGTTTTTTGAGTAGAGTTCTTGTCATGTGCAGTTTAGTTGATGTGCAGGGTGATGGACAAAGGTCTAGCAAATAGTTTGGGATGGGGAGTGTCTGCTTCTGCCCCTGTGGTCTTGGTGCCAGCGTACTGAAAGGGAGAGAATGATAACTTTTGCCTTGGAGTACATAGGAATAGCTACAGGACTGCTACAACTCTGATAGCAGGAAGTGGATGCAGCGGGATACTAGACTAGATACTGGACTAGAGAGAAAGGCAAAGGTGGCACATTGAAAGCTGTTATGCAATTTGTCTACCTGTATACAGCAGTGGGAGTACTTGGTCCCAAACTCTGGATTATCTTGGTGGCAAAAGTGCCCAATTTTATTCACACAAGTGTGTGAGCAAAACGCACAAACCATTATGATCATCACCAGATCCTGATAGACTGAATTTTTTTTCAGGAATCTGTTTAGTAGTCATCGAGTCCAACATGGAATATATATTAATGGAATTTGACTGCAGATTAGAAGTGGCCTGCCAAAAATTGGAAGTTGAGGAAGGGAAGAGAAGTGAAAAGTGGTGAATTTAAGTTTATCTCTAGTCCCTGAGCATAGGTCTAATAATCCTCCAAGCAGCACCTTCCAAGCAGAACAGAGCCTTTCTTCAGACTAAAGCAGCATTTCTCAACCTGTGAGTTGTGACCCAAAAGTAGAAAATTAGGTTGCAAGAATATTTGAAAGGGTTGTGGACAAACTAAAAATGGATCAACAAACTTTAAAAATGGATTCTCTTAAAGAAAGAAAAATGTGGGAAACCATGTCTTTCCCATTGCAGGCTGTCAGAGTTCCAGCCTGCAAGGGGCTGTTTAGTGGGGCCCCAGACCCCATTTCCCCCCCC